CTTCAGCCTCGGCCTCAGCCTCAGGCTGCCTCAGCCTCAGCCTGCATGAGCGTCAGCCTCAGCCTCAGCCTGCCTCAGCCTCAGCCTGCCTCAGCCTCAGCCTCAGCCTGCCTCAGCCTCAGCCTCAGCCTGCTTCAGCCTCAGCCTCAGTCTGCCTTCAGCCTCGGCCTCAGCCTCAGCCTGCCTCAGCCTCAGCCTGCATCATCCTCAGCCTCAGCCTCAGCCTGCCTCAGCATCAGCCTGCCTCAGCCTCAGCCTCAGCCTGCCTCTGCCTCAGCCTCAGCCTGCTTCAGCCTCAGCCTCAGTCTGCCGTCGGCCTCGGCCTCAGCCTCCGCCTCCTCAGCCTCAGCCTCAGCCTCAGCCTGCCTCAGCCTCAGCCTGCCTCAGCCTCAGCCTCAGCCTGCTTCAGCCTCAGCCTCAGTCTGCCTTCATCCTCGGCCTCAGCCTCAGCCTGCCTCAGCCTCAGCCTGCATCAGCCTCAGCCTCAGCCTCAGCCTGCCTCAGCATCTGCCTGCCTCAGCCTCAGCCTCAGCCTCAGCCTGCCTCTGCCTCAGCCTCAGCCTGCTTCGTTGCTTCAGCCTCAGCCTCAGTCTGCCTTCAGCCTCGGCCTCAGCCTCAGCCTGCCTCAGCCTCAGCCTGCATCAGCCTCAGCCTCAGCCTCAGCCTGCCTCAGCATCAGCCTGCCTCAGCCTCAGCCTCAGCCTGCCTCAGCCTCAGCCTCAGCCTGCTCACCTTCAGCCTCAGTCTGCCTTCAGCCTCGGCCTCAGCCTCAGCCTGCCTCAGCCTCAGCCTGCACAGCCTCAGCTCAGCCTCAGCCTGCCTCAGCTCAGCCTGCCTCAGCTCAGCCTCAGCTGCTCAGCCTCAGCCTCAGTCTGCTTCATCCTCAGCCGCCTCAGCCTGCCTCATCCTCAGCTGAATCAGCCTCAGCCTCAGCCTCAGCCTCAGCCTCATCCTCAGCCTCAGCCTTTCCTCAGCCAGCCTCAGCATCGCCTGCCTCAGCCTCAGCCTCAGCCTCATCCTCAGCCTCAGCCTGCCTCAGCCTCAGCCTCAGCCTCAGCCTCAGCCTCAGCCTCAGCCTCAGCCTCAGTCTGCCTTCAGCCTCGGCCTCAGCCTCAGCCTGCCTCAGCCTCAGCCTGCATCAGCCTCAGCCTCAGCCTGCCTCAGCATCAGCCTGCCTCAGCCTCAGCCTCAGCCTCAGCCTCAGCCTCAGCCTGCTTCAGCCTCAGCCTCAGTCTGCCTTCAGCCTCGGCCTCAGCCTCAGCCTGCTTCAGCCTCGGCCTGCCTCAGCCTCAGCATCAGCCTGCCTCAGCATTCAAAATGTGGCCCGGGAATGGAGTTCTGGGAACTTGAAGAACACGAAGTGGCCTACAGTTGGCTCCGGGCAGTCAAAATCATGCCCAGGAAAAGAATTCTGGGATTTCGAAGACCACGAAGTGGCCTACAGTTGGCCCCGGGCATTCAAAATCATGCCCAGGAATGAAGTTCTGGGAACTCGAAGAACACGAAGTGGCCTACAGTTGGCCCCGGGCATTCAAAATCATGCCCAGGAATGGAGTTCTGGGAACTCGAAGACCACAAAATGCGTTACTGTTTTTTTTTTTTAAAAAAAAAAAAAGGAATCCCCGGATTCCCGCGGCACCCGTCCGGCATCTGCCCAAACCCCCCTGGGGAGTCAGGATGCTCTCTTTTGAGACCACTAGAAACCTATCAGTCTTCGCTGTTAGGTTGAAACATTGGGGCGGGGGCGGGCGGGGGGGGGGGGCGCGGGGGGGCGCGCGGGGCAGGGCGACGGTGCCGCGCCGAATGAAAGGATCGGGGCGGAGGGGGCGCGCTGGCCAGCGGGCGGGGCGGTCGGGGGGGGCGCTGGCGGGCGGGGGGGGCGCGAAGGGGGCGCCGCGCCGAAATGAAAAAGTCGGGGCGGAGGGGGCGCGCTGGCTGGCGGGCGGGGGGGCGCGGAGGAGGCCGCGCGGGATGGGCGGGGTGGTGCCGCGCTGGCATAAAAGAGTCGGGGCGGGCGGGGAGGGGCGCGCTGGCCGGGCGGGCGGGAGGGGCGCGGAGGGGGCGCGCGGGATGGGGGGGGGGGGGGGGGGCGTGTGCCGAAATAAAAAGGTTAGGGGCGGAGGGGGCGGGCCGGCCGGCGGGGGGGGGGGGGCGGCGGTCTGGGCGGGGGGGGGGGGGGGGGCGCCGCGCCGAAATGAAAAGGTCGGCGCGGGGGGGGGGGCGCGCTGGCTTGTGGGCGCGCGTGCGCGGGGGGGGGGGGGGGGGGGGCGTGCTGGAATAAAAGGGTCGGGGCGGAGGGGGCGCGCTGGCTGGCGGGCGGAGGGGCGGGGCGGGGGGGGGGCGGGTGCTCGCTGGGGGCGCGCTGGCCGGCGGAATGGGCGGGCGATGGAGGGGGGGCCGCGCCGAAATGATATGGTCGGAGCTCTAGACACCCCGTGCAAGATGATAAAGACACAATGTAGAGCCGCGACTTGGGAATAGGGAAGCCAGATGGAACAACGACTTTGGGATGATAAGACAGCGTAGAATCGCGAATTGCAGCCGTTATCCGATTCCAACTTTAAATGTTCTGCGGGGCGTGGGGCCCTCAGAAGGCCTCGACATCGCCCAGAAGCGATCTCCTCGTAGCAGCGTCGGTTACTCGCGCGCGTCGAGGCCACTCTGAAGCCATGTCGAAGCCATGTCTGCCCGGCGGAGAGAACAAATATCGCAGCGCTTTGTTGTGTCTTATCTGCAGATTGTTGCATTCTTGTCTGTGGCGCATTGACGGAATTCCTCTGTAAAGTTCTCTACGGCTTTCCGGTGAAAATCTCGTGATCAGCTCATGATTTGTTCGGTTCGTTTTGCTTCGACGCTGTTGCCAGCTTTTCCTGCCGAGTTCTGCGCGCAGACCTCACGAGATTTTCACCGGCGCTGCTTGCTTCAAACTTACATCGGTTTTCGTGCAACTCTGCTGCGCCCGCACTGGCCCTTGCTACAAGGAAAATATGATGTCTTCTGCCCGCCAGGTCCAACACGAAGTAATCGGCTATATGCGACATAAAGAATTCACGGTTGGAGCGGGCGAAGATGACTTGAGGCCCTGAAGTCAGGGTCTCGACCTTTGCCTGGAAGAAATCCGCAAAGCAGGCGCCGGTCCTGTTGCCCACGCTGAGGACACGTTGAGGCAATGTTGAGGCCCTGTTGAGGCCATGTTGACACCCTCGGGTCAAGGCCTCGCAATCCGCAAAGCAGGCGTGGGTTCTGGCGTCATGTTGAAGCCTTGTTGAAGCCATGTTGAGGCCCTCAGGTCAGGGCCTCAGCATCGCAATCCGCAAAGAAGGCATGGATTCTGGCGTCATGTTGAGGCCTTGTTGAAGTCATGCTGAAGTCCTCAGGTCAGGGCCTCAACATCACAATCCGCAAAACAGGCGTGGATTCTGGCGTCGTGCTGAGGCCATGTTGCGGCCCTCGGGTCAGGGACTCAACATCGCAATCCGCAAAACAGACGGGGATTCTGGTACCATGTTCAGGCCTTGTTGAAGCCATGCTGAAGCCCTCAGGTCAGGGCTTCAACATGGCAGTCCCCAAAACAGGCGTGGATTCTGGTGCCATGTTGAAGACATGTTGAGGCCCCCAGGCCACGTTGAAGCCCTCAGGTCAGGGACTCAACGTCTCCCCGAGCTGCAATCCGCATAGCACGCGTGGATTATGGTGCCATGTTTAGGCCCTGCCGAGTTTGGTTATTAAAAATCTTTAAGGGTACGCATGGGGGCTCGGGCCCCAACATGCATCTTGCAGGGTAGCCCAAGGGTGGAGGCCGGCGGACATGGCCAACTGCGACACCCCAATATTGTAGTCCGGCCCTTTTCCCAAAGTTGGACCCCCCCCGCGGGGTGGCGGGCGAACGTCAATTCTCATGTGGGCGTTGCGTCGGCCTAGTAGCTAAGGCCGTCGCCGCCTTTGTATTTCAAGTCTTGCAGGCACCTCGGCAAGGCCCTGCACAGGCTATGGGGCGCTACGGCGGGGGGATAACCCGACAACAAGATATGCGAGCGTCGCGCGATTCCCGCTGAAACTTTCAAGCTGAATCAAATATAATCGCAACTCTGGAACAAAAACAATATGGAGGCGCGAGTTAGGAATAAAGAAACAATAGAGAACCACCACTTAGAAATTAGGACACAATAGAGAATCGCGCCTTAGGAATAAGGAGACCGCATAGAACCACGACTGAAGAATAACGAAACAATATGGCACAGCGACTTCGGAATAAGGGCATAATCCAGAAACGCGACTTTGGAATATGGAATCAATGGGGAACCGCCGCACGAGTGAAGTGCACCGTGCGCGCCGTCTGCACCAACAGAACAGCCAAGTCGTATACGAGGTGCCAGGGCAGAGATGACAAGCCCTGCCTGCCGACAGCTACGCACTGGTACGGCCAGACCTCGAACAGAATAACATCCTTCAAGAGCATGAGACTCTCCGCTGCCCAAAAACCAAGATGTACAAGAACATCCAGTGCACGAAAAACACTAGGGGTACCATCCCCGAGCCGACCTCGATCTTATACCTCGTTCCGACCGTAATAAGGGTGCGCGATACGGATGCAAGCACATTGGACGTCCATCTCAGAGCTTTTCGAGCGGGGCTGGCCATCGAAACTGGTGAAGGATGGACCGGAGAGGCATGGATGCACGGGTACCCTTAGGAAGGCTACCTATTCCTATCATCGGTTCCGACTGTTCGCTCAGTGTGGAAAGAAACACGCACACAACTGTGAACACGCATCCGTGCACGAGGAAGCACACCCAGCATGAACCGGGGAAAACCAGCAACACGAAGCAATTTGCAAAGTTCCGGCCGACGAGACGTTGCGTGTACAAGCCACGAGTGGCACTGCACACGGCACGAAGCAAGATGAGCCAAACTAGCGCGACATTAGACAATCTGATGACCGAGCGCAACCCACGTGCTCAAGAGATTGAACGCATGGGGGGCGTGCTGCGATGAATGGCCTCATTTATTTTCCAAGATGGGCTTGCCCTTCTGGAGGAACTGGAACACTGCTGTAGCAACCTGGCAGGGACGCCGACAGAACTGTTGGATCAGCCAGCGATCGATACTGGACCGTTCTTGATTTGGCTGGAAGGCGGGGAAGAGACCAATCCTGCCCAACGCCGTTTGCAAGGAGCTCTGTGAAGGGTGTCGCTCTGAACGCCTGCGCAAAGCCGCGGCATGTTGCAAATGGTGGATATGCTGGGCGATGGTAACTCCGAATTGGTCTGAGCTCCCTCTTCCTCTGCTCCTCCCCCACCCAAGCCGTCGGCTCTTTCCGAAAATCCCTGGGCACGGCGCCGCCAAACCTTCGAGACGAGTGGCGCCCCAAGCAGCAGCAGCAGCAGCGCAGCAGCAGCAGCAGCAGCAGCAGCAGCAGCGGCAGCAGGTGCGTCTCTCTTGCTCCCGCAGCTCCGCAGGGGAGGGAGGCCAAGGAAAGGAGAGGACACCCGAGGGAGCAGGGAGGGACGGAGGCAGAGGGCGGGAGGGAAGGCAGGAGACGGGGGCGCGGCGGGAGAGGGACGGGGGAGGCGCAGCATTGGCCGGCGGCATGGGGCGCCGCCGACAGAGCGCATGCCGCACAGCTGCGCGCATCGTGGGCGGTCTGGCGGCCTTCTCTCCCACGCCCGCCCCCCCCCTGACCACCCAGCCTCTGGTCCTTCCCCATTCGGGGGCGCGCAGGCATGGACTAGCAATCCATGGATTTGGCGCGCGGTCGCGCAATCCATGGATCGGGGGAGGTGCCCTCCCCCAAAATGCGGCCGGTGACGCCTCGCTCGGCGGCGGGAATCCGCGATTTCCTGTGGAAACGGGACCCGTCTGGCTGTGTCTCGACGTGACAGCGAGTCCGAGCGGACGACGGGTACGACGACGACGGCGCCGACGATGGCGGCTACGATCAAAGACAACGACGACGACAACAACTCCCAGACAGACAGGCGTTGAACAAGCCCATCCCCTTCTCTTCACCATCCTCCACGTCGTACCCCCTCCCTTCTATGTCTCCTTCCTCCATTCTCCCTCCTCCTGCGTCCTCCTCCTTCTTCCAGCGCCTCGCTCGATACATCCTCAAACTCTGCTCCCTGGCTGCTGCCAGTCCGTGGGGTGCTGGAACTAGCGGCCCGGTCGAGACATCCTCACAATCTGCTCCATGGCTGCTCCCACTTGGCTGCTGAAGCCAACGCCACGCTAACGACATCCGCACAATCTCATAGGGGCGGGGACCTGGTCCAGAAATAACCTGGGCCAGGCGCGGATCTCATTAACACATTTTATGAGGGTTTGTCTTTTTTCGCCGTGCCCACTTGCACTGATCTTGCTCCTGCTGGCCTTAGCCTCCTGCTCCTGGTTCGTGCCTCACCTTGCCGTCGCTTGTTTGTCCCCGTTGGCCCGCGACCGATGGCCGCGCCTTTTGGCCCTGTCCCACTCGGGCCCCCCGCTTCTCGTGCTCGTGCCTGACAACGCCACCAAAAAAACAAAGATGGAACAGGCTCATACGGGGCGAGAGGGACAGGGAAAGAGGTGGTAGGATGAGATAGGAAGCGCTGGGCAAACCGAGCAAACCGCGTGAGAGAGCCCAACAGTCTGGCGCGAACGGGCCCAGGCGGCCCCCACTTGGAGCGCGAAAGCCGACACCTGGACCACGAAACAGGCAAGCCGCTTGGGATCTCCAGTCTGCTCTACAAGCAGAAGAATCTGGGCCACCAAACAAGCAAATCGCCGGAGACGTGCTCACGATTTGCTCTGAAAGCAAGGGAGCCAAGGCCACCAAACAAGCAAACCGCCAGAGATCCCCACACTCTGGCAAAGAACGGGGGGATGAAACCACTCATGGCGGCTCCCTCTTGGTGTTCTGAAGCCAGCAAATCGCCTGATAGTTTCCACAACCTGCTCTGAAAACAAACGAACCTGGGCCATTAAATCAGCAAACGGCCTGAGATCTCTCCGCAATCTGGACGCGAACGGGGCCGTGCGACCACCCCTGGCGCCCTCCCCCCCACCCCCTCTGAATGCTGAAACCAGCAAATCGCCTGAGACATCCTCACACTCTGCTCTGAATACAGAAGAGTCTTGGTCACTAAACAAGCAAACCGCCCGAAACATCCCCACAATCTAGGCGCGGACGGGGCAATGCGACCACCCCTGGCGGCCCCCCTTGCGGTGTTGAAAACAATACATCGCCCTAGACATTCGCACACTCTGCTCTGAAATCCAACGATCTTTGGCCAGCAAACAGAGCAAATCGCTTGAAACATCATCAGAATCTGTGTGCGGACGGGGCCGTGCAACCACCCCTGGCGGTTCCCCTCTTTTGGAGTGCTGAAGCCAGCAAGTCGCCAGAGACATCCTCGCACTCTGCTCTGAACGCAAGCGAGCTGGTGCCACCTAACAGACAAACCACCTAAGACATCACCACACTCTGGGCGCGAACGGAGCAGTGCAACCGCTCTTGGCGACTCCCCCCTTTTGGGGCGCTGAAGCCAGCCAGCCGCATGTGACATCCTCACACTCTGCTCCCGAAGCAGACGAGTCTGGGCCACCAAGCAGACAAACCGCCTAAGACAGACCACACTCTGGGCGCGCAAGGGGCCGTGCAATCACCCTTGGCGGCTCCCCCTTGGGGCGCTGGAACCACCACCTCGCCTGGGACATTCTCACAATACGTGTAAGTGAATCTAAGTGTGAGTGAATCTGAGTGTGAGTATGGTTGCGAGTGAGTCTGAGTGCGAATGGGTCTGAGTGCATATGAGTCTGAGTGTGAGTGAGTCTTTGTATGTGCGAGTCTGAATGTGAGGGAGTCTGAGTGTGCGCGAGTCTGAATGTCATGGATGAATCTGAATATGAGAGAGTCTGAGTGAGGACTGGGAGGGAATGAATCGGAGGCGTTTGGGCAATAACAATAACCCAATCTTAGGATATGGGGAATGACCAGGCGCCATCTTATGATGGGGAGAGAAAGGAAAACCAAACACGCGCAGGCAAGTGGGTCAGCATCACAACTGTGAATCAGATCGAGATCGACCGCAATCTGGATCGACTGCAACCAAGCCCCGCGTCGACAGTCTGCGCGTCGAATCGGAACTCGGAATCCAGTGAGCGCCCCCCCCCGTGCGGAAGCGGCACTTACACGCCACCGCCACCCCTGGCCACCGCAACTGGGCCCCAATGTGATGTATACGGCTTCCCGGCCTCAGCCAGGAGAGCGTGCACGCCTCGGCCCACGGTGGCGCTGGCCAGAGGTGGTGGCGGTGTACGGTCGAAGATGCGATCAAACAAACTATCATTTCAGACATTTGGGCCAGCCTCCTTGAAATTTCTTGAAGCAAACCTGGGCCAATTTCTGTTGCTGGCGCTGGAAGGGCGAAAATGCTCAAGAAACTGGGCCAGATTTCTGGCAAGTTGGCTAAGAAACGCTGGCCAGGCTTTTCGGGAGGTCCCTTAATCAGATGCTCGACTGTACAATCTACCTGTTTTCTGTCAACATTGCTAGGTGGCCTCCGATTTCAGCTGCGCTGTTTTCGAAGCTCCGGCCCTGCCTCGGTCCGATCCTGGTTCTTGTCGGGGTGCCACTTCCGCAGCAGTGCGCGCCACGCCTTCATGCGGGCCTGTGCGCGCGCGCCCGCAGAGAGGGAGGGGAACAGGGAGGGACACGACAAACGTGAAATCAAGGTGGGGGCAAGGACGAATGAGAAAGGCGGGACGAACTCTGGCGTTACAGGGGTTCTTCAAGCAGAGGCTGTGCACGCCTAGCCCCACCGAATGACAATCTACAGATGGTACTGGAACTACGGCCTTGATGAAGGATACGCAACGCAAGGAGAAGTGGATGCTAAGGATGATGGGGAGGGTAGAGAAGAGGGGAGGGGTGGAGACGACGACGAGGAAGCATACGAGACCACATCTCCAACATTTCTCTTGCCATCATGCCTTGGCTGCTTCGTTTTCCCCCCTGCTCTCACTATGTCATAGCCTCCGGTTCTCTGCCTCCTTCCTTGCTGGTGCTGTCGCTCCTGTCCGCTGCGCGCTCGCGATAGGTCACGCTCACGCGTAGACGATCCTGGTGCCCGTCTGCCCTGACGCCCATTCCCCGAAACGCGTTCCACACACTGGAAGATCCATGGGAAGCTCAGCTGGAAAGCAGACGTCGGTCCTCCAGCGGCTCTACAGACTTCAGGGCCAGGAGCTCGTCAAGAGCCTGAATCTCGCGTTCAACACGCTCATCCATGCAAGGGGGCAAAAAAGAAAGGAGCGTGGTAATGAACACGGTGGGCACCACCGTGATAATATACGAGAATATGGTATATGCCGGTATGTGTATATATGTATACACGTGTATACACATGTGTCAATACAAAGGTACAAGACAACCGCACGTGCACATACATATTTATGAATGTATAGCACTGCAGTGCGAAGGCTGGCCTCCCAGACAGTCCCGAATCGGCGACTCGAGTCAGGGACGTGAGATTGAAGGCGAAGCCCAGCGATATCACGATTTTCCAGCCGATTGTTGCCACACAACAAACTTCACAACAGGACAATGCACGGACAGGCTGACGATGCTGCTGCACAAGCTGGGAACAGAGTCAAACGAACACCTAGCAAACGCAGCAAAAAGACCAGCCGGTTGGACGTGCTCTAGCCCCCAAAGGGTGGGGGGGATTAGGGAAGACTTGAGCGCAAGCGTCAACAGAACGGACAGAGTCGACGCCAGGCGAAAAATTCAACACTCTCGGGAGGCCTAGCGGAGCAAGAGTACTACAGAAGTTGACAGCCCTGTAATAACACTACAGTGCGAAGGGTGGCCTCCCAGACAGTCCCGAGTCGGCGACTCGAGTCAGGGACGTGAGATTGAAGGCGAAGCCCAGCAATATCATCATTTTCCAGCCGATCGTTGCCACACAACAAACATCACAACAGGACAATACACGGACAGGCTGACGATACTGCTGCACAAGCTGGGAACAGAGTCAAGGGAACACCTAACAAACGCAGCAAAAAGACCAGCCGGCTGGACGTGTTCTAGCCCTTATCCCATATGTGGTTCTAGGGACAGGGGGGCGGGCACGTTATAAGAATGGACGCAAGAGAAATCGTGATTTGGGTCTGGGCCCCCGAAGGAGGGGATATGACGATTTCTCGTCTGTGCTAAACACAGGCAGGTAGAAAGAGCATGGATGGATGGCAGGCAGAGAGCGAGAGCTGGATCATGTGCCAACATTCAGGATTCGAGTGAGCTCGCGATCAAGCAAGGTGGGCAGAGCTGTGGCCGCTCGATTCCCACTACGCTGTTGCTGAGCAGTCATTCTATTAACCTGCCTGAGAAGCTAGTCTTCTTTGCCATATCGAACAACAGACCGACCAGAGAGCCAGTGGCCACGGCGCTTGATGAGCTCGAGAGACCCCCTTTTCTCTAGGAAGTCCACTGAGGGCCCACCGTGAGGAACAGTGTGTGGACATAGCCGAAGGGACTGCAGCGAGAGCGCTTCCGAGCCGCGCCTGAAGAGTGACTCGTAAGTGGGCAGGTCGAGGCCATCGAACAGCGACCCCAGCTTGAGCCGTTTCGCTCGTGCGATCAGCCGCTCGAGCACAGACCGGATCCAGATGCGCTCTGGGCTCATGCCGCCCACGATCACAGTGTCATCGTACTGCTGGTTCTTGGCTGGTTTGCGGCCTGGGCCACTCGGCGCCACGATCACCGCGAGCTGGTTGCACCGGCGGTTGGCGGCGCCCGACCCTGTGACGACGTGGTCCAGCGTCAGGGCCAGTGTCGCCGACGGCCGCCCATAGACGTCGAAATGCACCACCGCGCAGGCAGCAGCCAGGACGCCTGCAAGCGTGCCGAGCCCGATGAATGAGGTCGCAAGCAGCGCCAGCGCCTCCCAGGGGCACGGGTCGCGGCCCGACTCGGGCGCGCTTGAGCCAGCCAGCAAGCGCCTTCACGGCGTGCGGGAACGTGTCTTTGGGCCGAGGGAAGCGGTGCATATGTGCGAACCCGTGCAGGGCCTGCCGCCCCTCCCACGGCTCACATCCGCCCAGGTAAAGGTAATCGAAGTAGGCGGATAGCGACAGATCGACGACGCTCGGCGCGGCGGGATCAGCACCGCGCCCCGTCTCCGAGGCCCACTCCACGAACGAAGCCTCAGAGGCGCGGTACTGTCTAGCCACCGCCGCCGAGACGGTAGACCGTTCCAGGCACCCCTCGGTCGGAGCGTCGCCGGCCACGCGCCGCCTGGCAGCCCGCCGCAGCACCCGTCGTCGATCAACACCTGCACGTGACGCTGCGAGGTCGAGCTCGGCCTCGTCGAGACCCGACCCAGCGGTGCTCGCCGCCCCAGACGCCGGCGCTGCCGCCTCACGGCGACCGGAATGCCTGCGGGCATCGCGGGACCCACGGCTCGGCGGGGAGCGGCTTCTTGGTGGCTCCTGCCATGAGAGACGATGCTCGTGATAGTGATTCCCAGGACACAACAGATTCAGCTGTTTCATCTCTGGAATGTTGGTGGCAATGAAAGTCGGCTTCATGTAATTGGCTCTATAAGTGCAGTTATCATATCGCACGAAGTGGGCTCTAGCTCGCTCAAGCTCTCGACGAATTGGCTCCCAACGACACAACCCCGACGGTCTCGAATTTTCGAGTGTGAACAGCACCCCGTGTTGACGACAGTCTAAGCAGCGCTCTGGTAAGGGTAGCTAACGACGTACCCCAGTTGGTCGACGAATTCCCCGCGCGACTAGCCACGCTCCAAACAGTGCAAGGGGTAACCAGATGAAGGGCCCAGAATCCTCCACGACGGATCTCGTTTTTAACGAATCGTTGCAGCCGTCGATCTCCCAGGTCATGATGGTATCCTCTGTGGATCTCGATGGGCATCCCGATCTCAAGACCCTCGTCCCTAACGGCGGCCGAAAGTGTGGCATGCCCCGCGAACACTTCGAGGAAGACGGACCGAGCGCGACGACGATCAGGAGCAACCGGGCTGGCATCATTTTTCGGACCAAAAATCGCTGCGGCCCCTTCGCCCGACGCGGGCGACAGGCGGGGCCCGCGTCGCCCAAGTCGGCAGGCGGCAGGCCGGCGAGCCGCAGCCCGCGGCCGCCCGCGGGGCGTCGGCAGAGCCGGCGCGGCTGCGGGGGCGCTGGCCTCACGCAGCAGGGCTCGCCCAGCACGCCCAAGCTGGGCCTCGCCCGCTCCGACTTCGCCACGATCGGCAGCTCGGGAATCTTCGTCAGCGGGGTTCCTCTTGGTCTCCAGGCACCGCTGCGCCCAGACCAGGCCACATGCGATCGTGAGCGCCCCAGCCCGCTGGCACAGCCGAAGGAGGCAGTGCGACTTCGCCCTGCCCTTCTCGAAACTGCAGATGCAGGCCAAGTTGTCACCGATGCTGAGCAAACGCCGCCCATGGAGTCCGACCTCCCTGCTGGCGCGGACCAGCCCCGTCAGCATCACGCGGCCTTCCTTCTCGTGGATCGCGGTGTCGTACTTCCAGCCGCCGCGCACCGCCCGCCGCCAGCGCGCTGGGTCGACCAGCGCGTCGGGCAGCGGCGGGATGCTCACCGCAGTGCTGGGTCGTTCGATCTCGTCAAGCTGCCGCCAGGGTCGGCGCCGTCCCTGAGATGCGCCGTCCCCCGACTCCAAGTGCCCCGGTTGGGGGCCCGCGCCGGTCCCGTTCCGGGCATGCCAACTGGCGGCGCAGGGCGGCGCAAGGATCCAGCCAGCAGACTCCCGCTCGACGAGGTCGAACCGCCAGCGATCACGGTAGGCGGCAACCTCGCGGTACTCGGCGCTGGTGATCTCCGCGACGTGCAGCGCGTAGCCCTTCGTGGAGGCGCCCCCGCAGAAGGCAACGGGCGCCGGCTCCGCCCCGAGGTCGACGCCCGCCATGAAGACCAGCCAGCTGGCGACCTCGAGCTCCCAGCGGACGGAGCTCCAGATCTCGGCCTCGCTGTCGTAGTGCTCCCCGATGAAGGCCCAGACCTTGTCGAGACTGGCCAGCGCGGCCCTGGCCAGCTATAAGTGGCGAGCGAGATGACCAACGAGGATCTGGACCACGCGGCCACTAGTGAACCCCCTCCTGATCACCTCCTGCAGGGCCAGGTGGAGCCGCCAAGTGCGTCGCGGTAGGGGCCGGATATGCCGTCGGACACCGTCGAACACCACGCCCAGCAGCTGCAGCTCCTGCGAAGCCGCGTGCTCCTCGTGGAAGTCGAGGTGCTTCGCGTCGAAGTCCCGCTTCGCGTTGTCGACGTACGGCGACCGAACGGCTAGACCTGGCGTGGGCGTCGGCGCTGCGTGCCTGTCCTCCACCACCGCGCTCCCGTCGCTACCTGCAGCGGCAGTGGTGGCGTGGCAGAAGTACAGAGCTCAGCTCCATCCCATCGCCATCCCCTCGAAGACGGGGAACGCGGGGGTGTCCGCGGCGACCGCCAGGTAGGAGCCCGTCGTCTCGCAGAAGACCTCGGCGATGCCCCAGTAGTCCGCCCTGGCCGCGAAGTCGATGCCGAACCGCGAGCCCATGCTGCGGTTGCGGAACTGGTAGAACCCGTTGTAGGGGTCGACGCTTCCCGCCGACGGCTTCACCCAACTCAAGTCACCGTCGTCCTCGCTCACTGCCCGGATCGCGGAGTCCGAGAGGTCGACCCCGGTCATCGCCGTCACGGCCCCGAGCCAGGAGTGCGGGGGTCGACGACGCAGTCTGGGCTCTCGAGCGTCGACGATCAATCTCTGGAGGCCATCTTCTTGACCACGAAGATACCAATGCGTGCGCGAATAGACGTTCGGAACCCTACGAGCCCCAACTCCGCGAGCCTGAGAATCAATCGCCGACGCTCCGCCATGTTGAAGCGCAGCTTCGGATCCCAGTATGGCGCGAACGCGCCGGAGTCGTATTCGAACTCCGAAGAGTCCCTCAAAATTTGGCCCTCTGGATCTGCCAATATAGCCCGCTGCTCCGGGGGTGGCAGGTCTTCCACGTCCTTGACAGACACGCCAGCCGAGAGCACCTTCACCCGATCGAAGTCGAAGCTCCCGAGGTTGCTCGGCTCCACGGTGTACAAGTCTTTCACGCGCAGAAGCTCCTGGAGGGCTTCATGCGGCTCGAGGTCGGCTGGGGCGTCTCCAGCACTTCAAACAAGACGCCGAACTCGCCAGTGCACGGAATCCTGCGCCCCAGCGAGTGGCGCCCGAATGGCTGA